ATGGCATTGCAGATAGGCTCCATCCTTCTTACTATGGTCAGCTGGGACTTTAGGGGCCTTTCTATAGTGCTTTTTAAGGCTTTTTATAGGTTTTTCATTATGTGTATGTGTGTCTGTCTATGTATGAATGCATGAGTACAGAAACACGCAGAAGCCGCTGGTGTCAGATTCCCCTTGGGCAGAAGTTATAGGAACTTTTGAAGTGCCCAACACGGATGCTGAGAAATGAACTCAGGTCTTTGACAAGAGCAGTATGCAGTATACATGCAGCACCTTAGCTACCTTTCCAGCCCACAGCCCTGAAAACCTTAGTCCTTTTCTGATAGCCTTCCCTTTGCCCAAAGGCTTCGAGCACAAGTTCTTCCTTTCCTTCTCAAGCCCTGTGTACTACTCCTTGCAGGGTTTTTCTCAGAGATGCCCACTCTGCCCAAGATACCCAGATAATCTTCAGCAGCCTTTACTTCTTAGCATGACTTGTATTCTACCTCCTCAGAGAGACGTCTCAGGACCCCCAAAGCTAAGTGAGCATCCTCCAATATGTGCCATCATTCTCTGATTCTAATACCTGTTAATGTTATCTTGCACACAGCCCTTATCATGATTCACAGTTTTGTCAGTATTCTATCTTTGAGCTCTGTGAATTGAACATACGTTCTATTAAGTGCGGTTTCTATTAGACACCCATGTGAGACATGAATGACCTTCATATGGAAAGATCTCAGCAGACAAACCAGTTTGTACTGGGAAAGATTAGGTAGATGGATGGATGGATGGATAGATAGATAGATAGATAGATAGATAGATAGATAGATCGTTGATGGGTGGATTCAATGCTACTTATTGGTGGTTGAGGCACTGAGCTGAGAAATACATCTGCAGAAAAGGACAAAGCAGAAGTACATAACTATACCCATATTTCAGAAAGAGGGGGAGGATTATAAACAAATAAATATATCCATATGGTAGTGTGTAGGACTTGCCTACATAAGATTAGTGTGTCTATGAGATATTTTCTTAATCACTATTTGACGGACAGCCCAGCCCACTGTGGGCAGTGCCATCCCTGGGCTACATAAGAAGGGTATCTGAGAAACCCAAGAGGAGAAAGCCAGTAAGCAGTATTCCTCCTTGTCTCTGCTTCACTTCCTGCCTTGGCTTCCCTCAGTGACGGACTGTGAAGTGAAGCTGTAATTTAAGCAAGTCCTTTCTTCCCAAGTTCCTTTTGGTCACGGAATTTATCACAGCAGCAGAGAGGCTGACTGGGACAAGTCAGCTCAGCGAGGGAGGGAACAGGGGTTTCCTGAATTTAAGACAGAGCCATATAAAAAGAGACTTGCCTCCCTGGTTAAGCTAGGCCTCACTGGAATGCTGGCTTTGAACTGGAGGTCTGAATGATAGGCACACTGCTGTGAAAAAACCTCAGAGGGAGAGACAGCTGAGACAGAGGGACAGCCAATAAGAAGAGCCTGGGTTAAAGTTGGCCTGCCCCATAGAATTCCACAGCACAGTGACAATGGCCTGTCACACTCCTGCAGGAGGCAGCTAAGGGCTCTAGCGGTTTGCACAAGATGGATGGCAACTGAGTCGGGAGGTGAGATGGCCACACGGACGTTGGAAGAAAGCCAACAGGCCTCACTAGGAAGGAGAAGGATTTAGAATTTACACAAATCCTTCAAATTGGTCTCTCTTACCTGGTACGCAGCACAAACACAGCAAATCCGGCTATGCAAGAGAGGGTATAAACCAACAAAAACTGCGAGGAAATGGCAGAGGCAGGCCTCCGAGTGGGAGGGAGCCCTTTCAAGGCCTACAGAGCTGAGCTGATGCTTGTCTAGTAAGGAAGCAGTAGAGGGATTAGCCTCACAGAACAAGAGAGAACTAATTGAGTAGAGGAGAGAGAACGCGTACAGAAACCACCGGAACAGGATTGCTGCAGGATGCCATGCACCCCGGGGAAATGCAAGTTGATGACATCTCAGACAGGCCTGAATGGAGAACATGCTCCTCACTCCCTGTTAAATCCCAGCCTGGGGACGAACGGTGAGTGCCAAAGAAGGAATGAAAAAAAAAATATATCCAGATACACAAATCCTAGGCCACAGCCATAATGATCCCTGCAGAGGGTAGAGTGTCGTCAGGTGCAGTGCGTAAGGAAGGTTTAGGATCATGCTGGAGTCTTACATTGCCTCCCCCAAAGTATGGTCTCCTCTTGATTCTTTTAAATGCTTAGGAAGAAAACATTTGATCTAAAGGACATATTAGAAAAACACCCTTGCGCATCCTCTGCGGCAAACCCAGAGAGGATCTGAAGCAAACTCAAGGACAAAAGCGTCCCCCGTGCAAAACAGTAAATTTTCTGAAATCTTCCCACACCGAGGTCAGCCATGTGAGTCGTGCGTGTGGACCACCTAGGACGTCTAATAGAAACTGCACTTAAGAGAATATAAATTAAAGTCACAGAGATCAAGAAGGTGGAAAGGGCAGGGACAAAGAAAAGCAGAGATGGAGAAACAAGGACATACACCCAGAAAGAAAGGGAGTCGGTGGAGGGACGCCACAGCAAACCAGCCAGACATCAGATAGGACAAAGGGCGTGCGCGCTGCTGTTTGTCAAAAGGAAAGAAGGTAGAGATGTTTTTGTTCTTTGTAGGTTAATATGTAAATGACATTCTGATTTATTAGCGGTCTCCAGCAGATGAGGTGATGATTAGCACATTTCCATATTTATAGAAAAGCAACACTAACTTTTTGGATTTATAGAAAATCAGCCCTTCACGAATAGCAAATTGTGCTATTATCGACATATGGTTTTCTATAAACAGAGCTGAGGTAATTATCCTGGGACAATTTGTCGGTGGGCTCCTTTTGAATATTAACCACTTTGGAAGCCCATCTCTGCCCTACATTATTTTAAAGAGGAGGGGGCACCAGCTACCCCAGGCAACTCATTAGTAATCCAACAGTAAAGATAGGAGCCCAAACCATGAGAGAAACACCGCAGGTCCAAGGCTCTGAGGTCAGATTCCCTGTTTCCTTGGGCAAAGCAGTACACCTCCCAGAGGAGACTCAGTGTTCTTGTGTCTAACATTTGCACAACACCGTCCTCTTAAGCCTTGTCACAAAGTTAAATGAGAATCTAAGCAGTTATGCTAGGAATTTATTAGGCGCTCAATAATGTTGAGCCTTTCCTTCCTCCCTTGCTTGTTGGGGAATGACTTGAAAAAGGACTTACTTGAGTAGACGTCGAAGCTCTTTTTACAGTGGTCTTATGCTGTTTATTTTGTGTTTTCTTATGACAGTGCACATATATATGTCTTTAGCTCACTGGAAAAGGTCTCCCAAAGCAATGACCTACCTATCTCTGGTACTTAAAATCTGCTAGGCTGTTTTATGTTCTATCCTTGGTTACTGGTGTTTTTTTTTTTAAAAAATGTAGATCTGTTAACTGCATTGCAACCCACGTCTAGAAAAATGGGTAGGGGCACCATTATAGCTCATGCACAAGCATAGTAAATGTTCAGAAGCATAGCTTGCACTATCACCAAGAACAATAGAGCACCTACATCAATGAGCAGACTTCAAAATGAGCTAGCCAAGAGTCCGAGTTAACACTTCCTGTCTTGCTTTGCATATCCACTTTGTCTTGGGCCTGTGCCGAGGCAGAAAAGAGAGAGAAAAGCATGCAGTGTGGTATTTGTTTTCAACAACGTTACTGTCTAGTGGGAATGAAATACTAATGGTCGAAAAGTTATTCCAATACTATAGTGGCTGTCATTTATATGAACCGGTTGAGGGAGAGGAGTGGACAGCCTGACACATTAAAACTGGGCCTTTGAACTTGGATTTTAAATAGGGATGGATCTTTCCATCTGTGATCACTCATGGGTTAAGTCAGTGGTTCTCTCTAGAAGGTACCAGAATCAATGCAGGAAGCATGCGAAAACAGACTTCTGAGTCTACCCTCCAGTTGAGTTTCCTTCAGTTAGGTTTGGGGTAAGGGTTCAAGAATGCACCTTTCTGATGAGTTATTGGATGGTGTGATGTAGCAGGTTTTGAGCTCACATTGAGAACCGCTGTCTGTATGGCTTAAATGAGATCCTGAAGATTGTTGATGTCATATAAAGAGGTTTAAACGGCATCCTTCATCTTTCAGGACCTTAAATAAGGAACTAAAGTCACTGGGTATGTGAAGTATTGTCTATTGAATAGCAATGGCTGAGAAGGGTTTAGATGGGCAGAGCCTGACCCTGGAGACCATCTAGAAACTGGCGTCATGAGTAAAAGATAAAAATCCAGCCTACCACAGAAAGGTGGGGATGGAGTGAGAAAGTGGAAGACAGAGACTGAGAAAGAGGAATTGGGTGAATTTAGGTTTCACTGACTAATTACAGAGAGATTTCTTACGAAAAACTCTTAGTCAAACATGTTTTTACATTTTAAATAACAAAACTCTCAAAATTCTTTATTTATGAAAGGGTAACTGTGAGGTTATAGAAAGAACATAGTTTAAGGGACCAGGCCAATCCTGAGTTCCAACCCTCCCTGCGGTGTTTATTAGCTGGTCAGTCTAATGAATCTCACCTCCCCAGAAATGAGAAATCTGAAAATGATTTTAAAAAAAAAGTTTGTCTAGCTCAAGTTAGCCTGTGGTTATATCTATAAAGAATTATGACTATATTTTAATTGAGGAGGAAGGACCAACCCAGTGTAGGTGGACTATTCCCTGGGCAAGACCTGGGAGTGAATCTGAATGTGTAGAAGCATGCTGCATTCATTTTTCTCTGCTTCTTGACTATGGATGCAATTTGACCGGTTGTCTCAAGTTCCAGCCACAGTCATTCTCTATAGTAATCAACTGTAACCTGGAACTATGAGATAAATCCCTTCTCTCCTGAGTTGTTCTTGGTGGGGTATTGTATCCCAGCAACAACAAATGAAACCAAGACGCATGTCTCATGGTGTGTGTTGCCCACCAGGCATGGAGTTCTGGATCTACTTACGAGCAGCTGCCATTTTCTCCTTGTTAAGCACCAGGATGTATTCGTAAACGCCACCCATGGTTCCAGAGGTGATGTAGTGGGTGCCGTAGTCGTTGATGAACTTGGCGTACATTCCGTAGTTGAACTGCTCTGGGAGCTCCATTAGCGACTGCAGCATCCCTTCATCCAGCACAATATTGTGTCTCCTCATCTTAAAATGTGCCGTCTGTACCTTCGTAGACACTCTCATGAAGCTGAATCTCTTCCAGCAGCATCCGAATGAGACAAAAGGGCATGTGAGAGAGGAGTCCAAAAGGTCAGCATTTAGGGCTGAAGAAAGCGTAGTCAGCAACACACGTAATACAGTTTTGTTTGATTTCACAAGCACATATTGGATACCAATGTATGAAAGACTTCACCCATGCATTCCCCTCTGTTCTTCGCCCCGCCCGGGGTATGTTCACAGTAACTCTAACATAGCTCAGGTATGAGTGGCCAATGCCTGGTAGACAGATGAGCACACAAGCCTTCTTATCTATTTGGAAAAAAATCAGTCTTGTTTTAGAAACCTTGAGTGTCAAATTCAGAGGGCTGGGCTGGTGTTCTTTAATCCAGCCACTCTATGTGGTTTCCTGTATGTTCTAGGAAACCATGCTAAGACTGGCGGGGGGGGGGGGGGGGGGGGGGGGGGGGGGGGGGGGGGACAGGATGATAGGCATTCCGGTCTTATGGTGCGGTTCTGTTCCATTTGTGAGGATGGTCTGTGTGCAAAGGCATAATCAAAAACAAACAAAAAAAAAAAAAACAGACATGATCACCACTGATCAGACATTTCCAATTACACAGGCAAATTAAGGTTCAATTACTACTGTACTTTTTAATGCATTTAACATAATACGTGTTCAGTGTGGATTATAGAATACCGAGAGACACAGACTTTATGTTCCAATACCTTTTCATTATACTTGCTTAACTGGTTCATGAGTGAAGATATACGGGACCCGGATACATTCAGCGCCAGCGTCACAGGAACTTTTGGGGGGCCTATGCCGAAAGTTATGCCACCTGACAGTGTCTTACTATTTTTTATTTTAGAAAAGAGCTCATTGGAATCATCATAAAACTCGGAGGAGATTAAAGTATCTGCCAGGCCCTGAAAGGAGAAAACGGGATGTTAGTTTCGTGTGTGGTTCTCAGCTTCTATGTGCCCTCCGGATCTTCACTTTGCAAGCTATCTGAAGTACCAGGTTGGTGGGAGGCCTTTCAGAAGCTGATCCATGCATCAGATTGATGCCCACTCAAACAGAGAAAACCCAGCAAAGTCTCTTAGTGTCAAGTGGAATTTCTAAGATATTTATGTCCACACTGCTTATACACTTGCTTGTTCCTGCGTGCAGATAATTATGTTAAAATGTTAATTATATTCAAAGCATAGATTTTCTTGAGGGTGAGGGGTTGTTTATCATCTATAAAGGGGGGCTGCTTGTTTGTACTATGGAGGGTTGTTGAATGCCGTGTCTGGTCGCTGACCTGGGTAGAAAGGGGTCAAGAAGGCCGGGGGGGGGGTAATAATCCCTGTACGTGAGATTTACTGCTGCCCACTAATGTTCAGCTATTTCTTTCCCTGAGCTCAACAAAGTTGCATTTCCCAGTTGACTTAAGCAAGGCCAGTGTCTTATCCTATAGTAGAACAATAGAGGTACACCTTTCAGAGTCTGTGACCCTGAAGGCATGTTCTCTAATGGTGCCATCTTCAGAGTGAGTCTGTGCTGTTCGGATAGATACATAGCCGTATAGACTTCAGAACCTTGTGACCATATCTAGACTATCTTATTTTACCTGACATACACACCCTACCTAGATCTTCCTTGAAATTAGGACAATGGTATTATCGGTGTCATTCAGCTTGACTGATACCCAAAAGAAGTGACCACAGAGCTGGGAAAGCGAATGTCTTAAAAACAGGCCCCACATGGTTGCCAGCCTTTCCTATTAATACTTTTTTCTTAGGTAGCTTGGGAGTGGGGAGGATGTTTTTAGATAATTGCTCATTCCATCTGCCTCTGTGGACCTAATGTACATTAGTCTATATATACAGGGTATATGTTCACTCTCCTAAGTGATTCATAACCTGGTCTTAGTTTGGACGTATCTAGTGAGAATCTTGTCTCTGTCAACTTTCGCCGAACAGCTTTGGGACTGACCCTATATTCCTTTGTGTTCCCCTTCTATTATCTAAAAGGGACACTGACATGTGACTCTTACGTCACTGCTATGAAGACTAAGTGGTAGAACTTAAGCGGAAGCTCTGGCCACACACAGCAAGCTTTCGGTGTGGTTGGCAGTGTGGATGGCCCCTCCCCAGGTTGAAGGTAAGGAAACGGATTGCCTTGAACTGCCTCTGAATCTTAACTGTGGTCTTGTGATGCTTGGAGTGACTGGGAAACCATGGGCCTTTAAACATGGTCCCACAGTGTGAAAGCCCTTTTGAAGAGAACATTTTTTAAAAAGCAAAATCATATTTAGAAAGGAAATATGAAAACAACAGCCATAAGTCACACTTGGTGGAGCATGAGGCATAGGGATCAGAAGTTGACACATTTGTGTGTTTCTCCCCCTTACATATTGGGAGTGTCCCAGGGAGAAGTGGCCGGTCAATGGTTCACGGTCTTTTGTAGTTAGAGTTTCATAGAGCCACATCATGGGATAGGACCTGAGAGGAAGGCCCAGATTTGTTCCATTGGTTTAAGAACGGAGCCAAGACTGAACAGGAGAAAGGCTGTGTTTATTCCATGGCTCTCCTACACACTCACCTCTCGCCACCCTCAACACTGAACATACAAGGGCAGCAGACATGAAGACGCCTACAGTCACCAGCAATCCCTACAGACAACAAAAGCCTCCCAAGCAAGCCATCTCCCCAGGTTCCTCCCTCCATCCCACCCTACGCCATCTCCACCAGACTCACTTCAAAGTGGTACTTAAGGAAGTTGTAGGGTTTCCGAAAGTATTTCTCATCATCCCCATAGTAGAGGCGCTCACAGACGGGGTCATACTGGAGCTTCCTCCACTCGCCGTTATACACAGTCTCACACTGGCCTCCATAATACCTGGCATCGTACACACTCAGGGCTTCTTCCTGAGTCAGGATATTGTACCTAAGTTGGAAAAAGAAAAAAAACAACATCTTGGGGAAATCTTTGCAAAGGCAAAGAAAATGTCACCTGTCATCCTCTAGAATGTGTGGTAGCTGGTAGGTTAAGAACTGATTTTGCCGAGTGGGTTTGATGGCGCCCTGGGGTTCCTTCAAGTACCTTGTGTGCACAGAGGAAAAGTAGGCAATACTGAAAGACTAGGTGGACTGGGCCAGGACCCCCAGGTCGCCCCTAACCAGAGCATCTGGACCAGCATCCTCAGGAGGCAGTTCTAATTAGCTGATCGGTTAGGGGAGAACATGCACGAGTATTAAGAATTCGAGCACAGAAGCCAATGAAGTTAGTGCCACAGATAGCTGTGTGAGCTCAGGCTAATTGTCCCATCTCTCTGGCCCACTTTAGTCACTTGTTAGAATAGTACCACCCTCCTAGAGTTAGATGTGCATTGATACACAGTAAAGGTGTCATAGATGGGCTTGGCATAGATCGTGCTGAATAGACACTGTCATGGTGTGAATGAGAATGCCCCCCCCAATAGGCTCCTGTGTTTAAATGCTTGGTCCTCAGTGTGTTAAACTGTTGTGGGAACTATTAAGAGGTGTGAACTTGTGTTGGAGGAGGTGTGTCCCTGGGGGTGGGATTTGAGGGTTCAGAACCCCATGCCATTCCCAGCTGGCTGTCTCTTCATCTTGCTTGTGGGTGAGATATAAGCCTTGGTCTACCACTCCAACACCATGCCTGCCTGCCTGCTGCCATGCCCCTGCCGTGAGTGATAGTGACTCTAACCCTGGATACTTGGTTCTCTAAGTTGCCTTGGCCATGTTGTTTTAATCCCAGACACGGAAAAGTGACTGTGATAGACAGACACTTCTACTGCTGCTGGCATCATTATTTCAGAAAAGGGCTCTGCTACTAAAAGGAGAATTTGCATAATCATGTATGTGGAAGGTTCTAATCCTCAGAAAATCCATTGTCTTTGGGGCAGCCTGGGATGGCAAATGGGCACAGTGTGAGCATCCAAAAGTGCCCAGAGTAATTTCCAGTTCTGCCACTTCCTGTAGCTGTGACTTTGTCACCGCAGCATAGACTTTAGAGAGGATTGAATGTTCTAAGACTGGACGTAAACATCTCTAATGCAACAAATAATGAAAGTATTGCTTCGTTCTGCCTCCCAAACTCTTATGTAGCCAGAGTTGCTTCCTCCATATGGCCTTCTTTGAAGGCTCTAACTATCCAGGTCTCCCCCTTCCACCCATCCCTAGGTTCCTGGCAGCCAGTGCTTAACCTTTGACATGGCACTCCTATGGCTGTTTATGCACTCTGGGACAGGTACAAAGGCAGAAAAGGAACAAAAGATAGGCCATGACTATAACCTATCTCAAAGAATAAATGGGTATTCCAGAGCGGCTGCCATGGCTTAGAAGTCTTCTGTATGTGCATGTCTATCTCTACTTCCTTTTTCCACCTCTTCCTTATAAGTAGAAGTGATGTAATAACAGCTATGATGAATTGAATACATATTAAACTCGTCATTTAACACACATTAATTTTAGACCTCATGACAACATTGCAAATACAGAAACTGAAGCTCAAAAATTGAAATAATTTGCTTAGTCTGGCACAGTGGATTTTCTCTTCTCCCATTTGTTTTTGACACTGAAGTCCAGGTCCCAAGCCTTTATCGCCTCCCTCCAGTTTCTATCTGCCTACGCACTGAACGCGTGTCTGTCTGAAATTTAAAAGGACAGTCTCTGAAACGCACCAAACAAAACCCCAGAGCAACAGGGTGTCTCAAAAATGACCATTAAGTATACTACATTTGGGAAAGTCCCAGTGGAAGTAAAAAGACATAGTTAGAATTGTACTCTATTGGAAATCTACACATGCCCACAAAGGACACACTAGCAAGGATATTCATTGCAGCGCTGTTTGTAAGAATGAGGATGGGAGTTACAATTTGGACGGGAAATGGGCTCTGCGGACTCATGTTTGAACACTTAGTCCCCAGCTAAAGGTGCTGTTTTATGTGGGGGCCTCACTAGGGGAAGTGTGTCTTGGGGTTTATAGCTCCCCTTCTTTTTCCTAATCCATCAAGAAGTGAGCAAGCAGCCTCATGGCGTAGCCATCACATCTGTAAGACATTCCCACTGCCGTGCCTCCCCCATGATGGACTGTACCCTCAAACCACGAGCCAAAATTAATGGATCCTCCCCTATGTTGCTTCTTGAAGGTAATTCAGTTGCAAATATGAGAAAAGTAGCTAACACAATGAGAAGGGATCTAGTTGTCTTCCGGTGAGAGATAGTCAAAGCATTCTACAGTTACATTGCAAAAGAGTCAGCAAACATATTTCATAAAGGTTCAGATAGTAAATTTGTTGGGCTTTGCAGGGTATAGGCTTTAACTGCTGCTACTTAAATTTGCCACTTTAAGGTGACAGCTGTGTTCTAAAAAAAAAAAAAAAAACCTTGTAAGGACAACAGGATTTTGCCTTTAGACTGTCGTTAACCCTTGTTACAGGACACCACGTTTCTTTTTTAAAGTGAGATAGAGAATATGTGTATGAAGAGGAAAACATCGAATGGCATTCAGTTTTAAAAGTGTATAATAACAAAAACGAAGAATAGAAATGTGTTTCTTGTTTTTTTTAAAGAGAGGGAACATAAAGATGGATAAGGAACAAAGTGAGGGCATCTTGGGTGAGTGGGGGAGGGGATGAAAACGAGATCAAAATTGTTGTGTGGAGAATATTTTTAACTAAAAACAAAAGGTGTATAGCAGATATACACGATCATGTTTACACACATACTACCTGCATAGAGGTTTGTTTTCCAGATAGTATGTGGTGTTAATCTGAAAGTGCCTGAAATGTATCTTAACAAGGTCAGCTCTGGGGGGGGAAGGACAGGGGCCAGTGGGTAAGGTGCCAGCATGTAAGCAGGGAACAGGAAGACACAGTGGACACAGTTTTTGCCTCAAGTTGGTATCGTATATTTAATAATAAATAAAAATTTGAAGCTGGGAAATGCTAAGATTAGGATTAAAATATCAAGAAAAGTTTCCAAGACTGATGTGGGAAGGTCATTGGTTAATTAATAAACTGCTTGGCCTCATAGGTTAGAACATAGGTGGGTGGATTAAACAGAACAGAATGCTGGGAGGAAGAGGAAGTGAGGTAAGATGCCATGCCACTGCTCCCCAGGGCAGACGTGATGAAGCAAGCCGCCAGGTCAGACATGCTGAATCTTTCCTGGTAAGACTGGTGCTACACAGATTACTAAATATGGCTTAGGCAAGATGTGAGAATTAGCCATTAAGAGGCTAGAACTAATGGGACAAACAGTGTTTAAAAGAATACAATCTGTGTGTTATTATTTTGGGGCATAAGCTAGCCAGGCGGCTGGGAGCTGGGTGGCAGGAACGAGGCCTGCAGCTCCCTTCAACACAAGACCTTGAAAAAAAGTGTCAGAATATCAGTAACATGGTGTCGATAACACCGTTCCGTGGCTTCTGTTTTCAGTGTAAGAGAAACAGGCTATTCAGGAAGTGTGTCACAACTGCTCCTGATCTGATCACAGAAGAACAGAGCAGTAGTCTGCAATGGTTTTCTCTGTTGAAGAGGAGTCCTTTTCAGCTCAACACCTCAACATTGCACTACTCTCTTCACCACAGACACTTTCTAAACCAACAAGAATCCCCTTTGGGTGTGCGGTGGCCTCTAAATTTGCCTCCAAATGCTCATAGGTTGGCGTTCTAAGTACCAGGATCTCAAATGTGACCCCAATAGGAAACAGACCTGGTAAAGAAGTAATTAAGTAGAGTTGGAGAGATGGTTCAGCAGTTAAGAGCACTGGCTTCTCTTCCAGAGGACCCGAGTTCAATTCCCAGCACCCACCTGGCAGCTCACAATTGTCTGTAACTCCAGTTCCAGGGGATCTGATATCCTTATACAGACATACAGGCAGGCAAAACATCAATGCACATAAAATAAAAATATACAAAGTTTAAAAAAAAACTTTAAAGAGTACAGTTAAGCCTTAACTCAGAGAATAAAATTAAAGTTAGGACAGAGATGTGTATGAGACTCAGTGAAAACCCAGAAGATGGTAGCCACCTGTAAGCCCAGGAGAAAACCCTAGAAGAAACCAGCCTGCCTGACCTCTTCGTCTCAGTGTCTAGTTTCTAGAGCCATGGCAAAATACATTGGTTAATTCAGCTACCCAGGTCAGGGTATTTTGTTATGGCTGTCCTAATGAAAAGGTACAACTGGTTTCAAGAAAAGTGCAATGTTTGGTGCTTTGTGTGCGAGTTACATGCAGTAACTACAGGATGCAAACAGTCTGGTGAGTGAGTCTAGTGTGATCTCAGAACAACTAAGGATTATAAATGAGAGCTGCCTAACAGACAGTTCACAGTGTCCCTGAGTTACTTATGACAATGACTACCTCACACAATTCCTTATCTGCAAAGAGGCAGCCGCTCATATCAATGTACTTCAGTGGAGCCTAGCGTCGGTGAGAAGGGAGAGTGGGACATACTCTGACAGAACGGGGGGGATGTGGAGAGCTTGGGTCATAAACAATTCCTGCCCTCAAGGAGCTGACACCCAAAGAAAAGAACAAGGCCAAAGGCAAAGACCGAATGAGCAGAAGAATGGCAACACCAGACCATTGCCATAAGCTAGCCCTTGTCCTGGGGCCTGGGGCGCTGAGATGGCTAGGAGTTCTCTGCCTCACCTGGTGGACACCCTGATAGTTGTCTTCATCCCTGATGGTTGCCTGCTGGCGTAGCAGGATAGGATATTCTGTGAACTGCAGGAGGGGCTAAGGCAAGTCGGTACAGCCAAGAGGAGGTGAGGGGCGCTGCCTGGATTTCCTAGAAGTCATACCCATAGGATACATGGGTGCCTTAAAAATATCAGATCGGTACCTTAAACATCAGAACTCAATCTTTTCTTTAGTTCTATATGCAAAATCAAGGTTTTCCTTGAGGTTGGTTTCCAGTGAGACTTTTTTTTTTTTTTTTTGGCATACAGATAGATGCCCTTTTCATGTCCTCAGGTAGATTCTTGTCTGTAAAGTGGTGGAAATAGATTGGTGTACCTCTTCATCTTTTTCTATGGATGCCAGTTGTTTTGAATTAGGGTTCCACCCCTCTGAACTCATTCAACCTTAATTACTCCCTCAAATCCCTGTCTACAAACGCAATCACTTTAGGTGCTTGGGGTTCTGACATAATCGGAGAGGGCCACTGTTTGGTCCATAACACTAGGCAAGAAGTCAGTCAGGTCAGGCTATAGACAAAGGCACTGCAGAAAGAAGAAACACAATTGATTAACGCACAGAAGGACTGAGTGTGAGGAGTTTGGGGAATTGAGCCTAGACATAAGGTGTGCAGTGAAGAGAAATTAGAACTGAGCCTGAGTTCAGCTCAGCAAAAAAAAAAAAAAAAAAAAAAATAGCTGTCGTCTGAGAGGTGAATCAAACAACAGCAAGGTGGAGGTTCATGCTTCTGTCTCGCCATGAAGCCCATTTTCTTTGCACGGAATCACACTGTTAGCTTGTCCAGAGTGCAGCTAGCAAGGCTGCTGGAAATGTCAGGTCCATCTGGGGAAAGCTGCCTTTGGGGACATCTCGGAGCTGTCGTAGAAGATAGTAGCCTTGGAAATGAAAGAAATTGGGCTGAGATGTGAAAGACAGTAGAGAGGGGAGAAGGACCAGAGGGACAGTATAGATGATGTCACCTTACCCTAGGAGACAAAAGCTACTTGTAGCTACAGGCACTCTTCTGTACACTGTGGAAATGTGTTGATCTCATTGTCAATAAAAAGATAATTGGCTGATAACTAGGCAGGCTTTGGGGGACAGAGAGAATGCTGGAAAGCAAAAGGGCAGAGTCTGAGGGGTCACGAGCCAGACACGGAAGAAGCAACATGGGGAGTTCATAGATGAAGTAAATGAGCCTCGGGGCAGCATATAGATTAGTAGAAATGGGTTAATTTAAGCTGTAAGAGCTGGATGAAGACAAGCCTAAGCTATTGGCTGAGCGTTTATAATTAATGCTAAGTCTCTGTGTGGTTATTTGGGGGCAGTTAAAAGGACAGAAAAACTCAGCCTATGGTATTCTTCAGAGGAACTCCCAAAAACAGATTTGTTCTGCCTCAAAACTAATGTCCCTAATGTGAGAGGAATCATTTGCCACTCTTGAACAGCCAAGGTGGCCGCTTACCCCAAGGCTGCCCTTTCTGATCCTGGGATTGGTTCATACTGACGGCAGTCGTCCTCCGTGATCATGGCATCCTCACAGTTGTCCTCATCAGAGCCATCGAGGCAGTCATTGTCTCCGTTACACACCAGGTGGCGTTTCAGGCAGCGACCTAAGGGAGACGAGACTGAGGGTGCTCCCTAGACCACATTCCCCCACATCTGCCGTCACAGACTTCCTACCTTTGCCCTCCAGTCTGTCCTAATCTCTCTGCTTGCACCGCCTCTCCCATCCTTGCTAGCCTTCTAGCTGTGCTGTGTCCCTTAGCTCAGGCCTACCCATGTCTCGCTCTCAAATCCAGCCTCCACATCAGACCCATTAATCACCCTCTAAAATTCCAGCCTGCCCACACCACTCTCTTGTTCTGTATGTGCCAAGGGCTTCTGTGGTGGTTTGAAAGAAAATGGACCCCATAGGCTCACAGGGAGTGGCACTATTAAGAGGTGTGGCCTTGCTGGAGCAGGTGTGGCTTTGTTGGAGGAAGTGTGTCACTGGGGGTGGGTTTAGAGGTCCCAGAAGCTCAAGCCAGGCCTAGTGTGGCTCACTGTCTCTTTCTGTGGACCCAGATGTAAAACTCTTAGCTTCTCCAGCACTATGTCTGCCTGTGTGTCACCATGCTTCCTGCCATGATGATAATGAATTAAACCTCTGAACTGTAAGCCAGTCCCCAATTAAATGTTTTCCTTTAGAAGAGTTGCCATGGTCACAGTGTCTCTTCATAGTGATAGAAACCCTGAGAAAGTCCCCATGCCTCCAAATGTCACAATCTGAACCCTGATTGTCCCCCTTGTTTTGGCTTACCTTAGGGGTCCATCACCCCACCTGTCTCTTTCTAAAGCCCTCCTGATAAAAAGATTCTGGAAAGACTGTAAGTTCCTGGCTTCTCATGTTCTTTCACATGCCTTCTTCTGGAAGCTTCAACTGCATTTTCCAAACTTCAAATCAAATGCCATTTTTAGGACTGTCCTCAGTCCTCAAAGATTATTCTGGTATACCCCACCACCACCAGAGAATTACACACAGCCGGAAGCTATCCTGTGAAATTGTAATTGACCTCTTGTAGGTCTCTCTTCCTTACAGATCAGGACTTCCTCAAGGTCAGATACTTTGTTTTTAATTTGCATATTAACAGCAGGTGGTATACTGCCTGGAACTTAATATGTACCTAGTAAGTGTTTGTTTAATAAATGTCATCTATTAACTGTGAGCTGTACTTTCTCTAAATTAAGTATATATATATATATGTATATATATGACATATATAATTATATATACATATATGAATCAAAATTATATGGACTGGCTCAACAATTAAGAATGTGTGTAGCTCTTGCATAGGACCTGCATGCAGTTCTGAGCACCCATACCAAGTGGTGGTTCCTATCACATAGGCTATAACTCCACTCCAGAGGATCTGGTGCCCTCTTCTGGCCTATATGGGCACCTGCACTCACATGTGCACATACCTTCTTTCTATCAATAAATATACATAATTTTAAAATAAGAATTATTTTTAAAAGAAAAGTTACACGAGTTACTAGTTTGACTTACAATGCACATTTCTGGGTCCTTACCCAACAGTTAGGAGTCTGCACTGTAAGCAGCTTCCAAGTCCGACTCGGGGAGCTGTGTTTGACAAGCGCAGCTGCTGTTGCGTTGGCATGCTACTCACCTGTCTCTCTGCACTGGAAATCCTGTCCACACTGTGCTTGCCTCAGACAAGGTGTGGGGCTGTTACAGCTGGCCTCATCCCAGATGTCACCACTGCAGATGGCTCCCCCAAACTTGCTCGGTTGCAAGAGGCTCCGGTGTCGGTACTAAATCAGATTGTGAACCAGACATTGTCTTGTCAATCAATCATCCGAGATCTATGCAGGCAGGTCTCAGCTCAGCATAAGGAATAACGTTCGTGATTGAAAGCTGCCTTCAGGGCTGTCTTAGAAGGGGACACATGAGCATGCACTGTGGGTGTTCAGGCAGGTGGCACAGTCATTACAGAATTCGGAATGCAGATGTGAACTATCAAATGAAAGGCCGGGACAGATGTGCACTGAAGGTCTTCTTATCTCTTAGGGAAGACCTCTGTTCCCATATTCAACCAGCTACAAGGATTTATCTTTCAAAGCCCATGGCTTCCCTCCCCTGGGCAGCCTTCCCTGACTCGACCATGTCCTAGGCAAATCCTCCTTCTCCCTTAGCACTTGTCAAGCAAGGCGGTGACAAAGCATCTGGCTCTCTGTCTATCTTGTCCACCCTCTTGGTGAGAAAGACACAGGCTGAGATGGAGTAGTGAAAAGAAAGGAGGGAAGGACAGCCTTAGGGGGCGTCATATATTCAGACTTGGTCTCTGGTCAGGTATAGCTTTAGAGGCCATTGCCATTTTGCTTTTGTAGGGTTTCTGTCTGTCTGTCTGTCTGTTTGTTTGTTTGTTTCTGGTCTTGCCGTCTCCTCTTTACTTGGCATATATCTCATGTGGTCCTGATAAGGATAGCCTCCCTCTCTCCCTTTCCCCCGTCACAGAGAAAGGTGAACACAAGCCAGGCCTTGATGGCCAGAGCATCCTATCTGCCTGTTTGCAATAATTTCTTCAGGGACTGCTCTCGACTCAACGTGAACCAATAATAGTTATCTCTCACAATTCTGTTTTGGGGGAAAGTAATGTTTCTGGAAATAACGACACTCAAGTAGCTACATACCCACTATGGATAAATAAATAGACTTAAGAGGGGACATCATCTCAATCCCCAAGTCCAGTCTTGGCTACATATGAGTAAATACTTGTTGATTTAAGGACAGGAAGAATTAAGACACACGACAATCTTGGGGTTCTAGAGTTTCGTGATAAAGACTTCCTGACCTGAAAAATGTACAAGAGTCAGGTACTGGTACAGAAACAGGAGGATGAAAACCAGGATATCGAGAGAAATGTGAGGTCTCGTTGCTGCCTTCTAGAAGTTTACAGTCCGGCTGAGACGCAATATATAAGAATACAAATGATAATGCCTGGAAAACATCCATGGAGCCATCGACAATGAAACATTTAGCCCTGTATTTCTGCCTTTGACCGTGGCTCAGCCAAAGGTCCTTCCCCCAAGAATGTTAACAAACCAAGAAGCAGTGATTTGAGCATTTGTGAGTTGCTTCTTTAATCTGTGAGTCCCTGGTACCTGTGCCCAAATTTAAGTCCCGGTTCTATCTTTCTCAATGGGCAACCTCCCGACAGTGGGCAATGGTGCCCGTTCCTTCTATTTCTTTGGGAAAGCCAAGCTAGACGATGTATTTACTTAAAACATTGCTGCAGTGACTGGAACATGGGAGGCCTTGAGAAAGGGTGACTATTAGTGCCATCACTGTCCTTCCTGTAGTGTCTGTACTCGGGACAGTGCTGCGAGCCTTCGGGTTCATTGCTGCGATCTGTTCCCTGTTTACTAGGTTGCTATCAAATAATGGAGACAGCGTGCTGTAGGAGGCGAGTGTCAATACTCCCTGAGGGACCTCTCAGTGCTGTTGCCTGCGGCTTGTGTCATTAAAGCATAATTTTCTTGTCTATGTAGTAGGTAATGCTTCTTCCCGGAAACGCACATCTTTGTTTGGGTGACTTTGAGAAGAAGGAACATAGTAATAAATAAAACAAAGGTGCTCCTTTACTTAAATAATTAAGAGGATTTAATATCTTAAGGATTTCTTCATGGACACATACATCTTCCCCAGTATTTAGGGAAGTAATTCAATTCCGACAGAAACTGTAAGAGATTCCCTGTGCAATTTGGTTCCTAAACTAAACCATGAGAAAAAGGCAGGCTTGAGATGTTCAATAGGTTGAATAATGGCCAACCAAAAGTATAACTTCAAATCTGTAAAAGGTTTCAATTTGTTCTTATTTACAAAAGCATATGCTGAAAATACTAGCCGTTTTGAGATGTGGTTATTTGTGGTTTTCTGAGTAGCCCAAAGTATTACCATACTTTCTGAGAAGAAGGAAATAGAGATTGCAGAAGGACACACAGGGAGAAGACACAAAAGAAAAGGAAGCAATCTGTCTAGAGAGACAGAGGGGAGAGATGTAGCCATAGGCCTAGGACTGTTGGCAAGCCCCAGCAGAGAGTGAGGCAAAGCTCACATCCTCCCCTGGAGTATCCAAAAGGAGGCAGACACCACTCACACATCCATTGCTTTCCTCTGGCCTCCGGGACCCCAAGGGGACAGATGTCCCTTGTGTAAAGCTTCCATGTTTGTAGAAATGTATTATCGTTGCTTGGGGAGGTTACTATATATCAGGATGAAGTTTGAATGCAGGAGCCGACTTTAAACAGGTGAGGTGTGAGGGTACTTTGTCATTTCTTTGCGCCAGGAAAGGCAGGGCGCTTAATCTTAGGGCTCCAAGTTCAATAATTCAGGTTCACGTCGTGTTTCCACTGCTTCTTAGCTCTATGATTTTTTTTAACAACTCAACAACATTCACAGAGCATCTCAGCTTGTCAGACGAGTGGAGAGGCAGGGTGAGCACCAGTAGGCCCACGGAAGCTCTGCTCGGTTCAAGGTCATGGAGGAGCCGGAGAGGGGGTACGGACCATAGTTATAAAAATCCAGGATGTTTGTCAGACACCTGCTACATGCCAGGTGCCCTTGTCCATGTCACTCATCAGCATTCAGGACCCCCACATTGTAGGCACTGTTCTGCTACCACAGTGAGGTGCAGAAAGGATAAAGAAAAATAAGCCCGAAGTAACAGAGCAGGTAAGAAGCTGCATTCAACTGAAACTGTGGGACTGCAGAGTAAACACTTGAACTTGACAGTATTGCACTGATACACTCGATCCAGCCAGTGGTGTTTGAAGCAAAAAGGCTGGGGATGATGGAACCTACCAGACTACATCCTATACAGAGGCAGGTATCGCCTGAAGGGATTCATAAACAATATAAAGACAGTACCTGTGTAGTACTTGTGTAGACTGCTTTTTGTCAACCTGAGCCAGTGCATCTGATTAAATGAGATTTTTCTGCTCATCCTTTCATATAAGACTGGACTTAGGGGCTACCTTGAATCATTCAAAACGATCTAAATGGGTACCTCCACGGGCATGACTATGTGTTGGGTGTGCTGGGCTTTTCAACCTTGAGGATAGCTTGGTGGCATTTGCAAACTTCTGTCAGGCCCAGGGAGCCGCTCAGAGTTGTGATGCTCAGCTGCCTGTGGGCATCTTGGCTCTTTGTTGCTATCCCGTCTAGCGGCCCTGGCAGATTGCCTTCACTAGAGGGCAAAGCGCTGGCCAGGACCCAGAGAATCCATGGAGCTTCGATGTGCCCATGTCCTGGTGGCTATTTTTCCTGTGTCATAATGCAGACACTTTCAGCAGCCTCGCCCCATGATGTCAGGAGAGGCAGGCACAAGCCTCACCATCCAGGTACCCGGGGTTTCCAATGCTCTCTCTAGAGCCCTAGATTCGTAGCCCCAGCTGCTTGTTGCCATTGGTGCCTAATGCAGAGATCAGATTACAGTACCCCAAGATATTCCTAGATAGCTTACCTTCGTGTCCTGACATGGAAAACAATCTGTCCATTCTGACCAGTTGCTCAGCTGACAGGCAACTGGCTCAGGGGTCACAGCTCGGCTAACTCGACTAAAGTGAGAAAAGAATCATTTTAAAGATTAAAACGACAGCAGAAGAGAACTGTGTGAAAGTCCCAAGCTATCTATCATCTATCTACTTATTCATTCACTTATTTATCTCTCATACAATACATCCTAACAATACCCTGCCTCCCTCCCTCCCTTCCTCCCAGCCTGCTTTCACTTCCCCTACCATAACAAGATGCTATAAGACTAAACATAAACCTTAATATTCAAGGGTGGACTAGGCAATCCAGTAGGAGGAAACAGGTCCCATGGGCAGGCAAAAGAGCCAGAGTCATACCTGCCCCCACTGTTGGGAATCCAATAAAAAGCCCCAAGCTAAAGAACCACAGGATGTATGCAGAGGATCTGGTGCAGACCAAGGCAGGGTCCATGGTTGTTGCTTCAGTCTCTGTGAGCTCCATTGAGCCCTGCTTAGTTGATTCTGAGGACCATGTTCTCATGCTGTCCTGGACCCCTCTGGCTCCTACCATCCTACAACACTCTGCAGAGTCCCTGAGCTCCGCCTAAGGTTTGGCTGTGGGTCTCTGTATCTGCTCTCATCAGCTACTGGAGGAAGCCTCTCTGACGACAATTGAACTAAGCATCAAACTATGAATATAGCAGAATATCATTAGGAATCATTTCATTGACTTTGGGGAGGGGGTGCGGTTAGTCATGATTGGTTCTACCCAAGGCCTCTGAGCTTCTGGATCCTGGCCATCCAGGCAGTGTCAGACATGGGCCCCTACTCAGGTTAGACCAATCATTGACTGGGCTCTCCCACAAGCTCTGAGACACCAATGCATCTTCCTGGCAGGGCAGTTTGTAGGTCATAGATTTTTGAATGGGTTGGTGTCCCAGTCCCACCACTGGGAGAGATGGCTTGGGCTGGAAAGATTATTCAATCACCATGGCTAGGCTCACAATCAAAAAAATAAGACTTTAATGTATATGCATAATCCTTTCCTGGAAACTTTAGGCTCTGCTGGTTGTCGATCCCACCTCCTCCTATTAGAGTATTCCATTCTGAACTAGAGAACAAGGCAGAAGGTCTGTAGGCATTGCTGAGCCCCTTTCTCTGCCCTCGGGTGTCTAGCATTCTCAAAGCCCCTTCTTTTCAATGTAGAATTAGCATGCTTGCAATATTGGTAAAATTTTCCACCAGAGTCCAAACCCTTGGAATTCAGGCCCTTGTCTCTATTGCTACTGAATCCTACCATCTGTCATGAGTAAACTTGTGGAAGCTATTCAGAGAAGAGAAAAAGAAGAAAGAAGCGGGGAGAAGGAAGGAGGGGAAAGAGAGGGCAGGGAGAAGAAGAAGGGAAAAAATAAGGCCTATTTCTGGGGAATAGGCAGTGACATTTTTAGATTTGCTTGAACCTGATTCCTAGTTAGAACTAAAATAATCTTGACATCTAGAAATGCTGAGAGGTCAAAGCCACAGGTCTTTTCTTCTGATATACTATCCTAAAATTAAAGAATGCTTTAGAGAAACATGGAGAGAATTTACAAGCCAAAGATTTAGGGATTGAAGAGGGCTTGCATTCACTCTGCACCACACTGAAGAACTGTCAAGGTAAGTCCACAGCCTGTGCTATGATGTCACAATGGAGGGAAACAAACAGTAAAACCAGGCAGCGGAAAGCAGAGACCCAGACAGCGATGCTACACCGCTGCAGCTTCCCAAGCTCATGACATGATGTCTAGACAGAGGCACGCGGTGATGCTGTCACAGGGGCCAGACACAGAAGGAACACCAGAGCTACCACTAAATCACCTCCGGCCAACATGACCAATATTCTCCCGGCATTTTAATGAATTTTTAAATGTAGTTCATTTTTGATGATTATACAAGTAATGCCTTCACATTAAAGAAAGCATAGCAACAATTATAAAAAAAATTATCTCAAATCTTACCACCATTAATATTTTATTATATTTCATTCCATTCTATTTTCATAATATAGTGGAGGGCATACAGAGTATCATGTTGTATGTCCTGATCTTTCCCACTTAATACAGAAGAGGTATAAACTATTTATGATGACCGTGTATTGCTTTACTATTCCATAATAAATAGATATTTAAGCCCAAGTTTTTCTGAATTCTAGGTTATATTCTGGCAATGGGATCTGTAAAATGGAACTGTTGATTTTATTTTTATTTATTTTTTTTGTTTGTTTGGTTTTTTCTTTTTTATTGATTTTTTATTGAGCTCTATGTTTTTCTCTGCTCCCCTGCCTGCCTCTCCCCTCCCCCTTCAACCCTCCTCCAAGGTCCCCATGCTCCCAATTTACTCAGGAGATCTTGTCTTTTTCTACTTTCTCCTTCCCATGTAGATTAGATCTATGTCTAATAGATCTAAAGTCTCTCTTAGTGTCCTCATTGTTGTCTAAGTTCTCTGGGATTGTGGTTTGTAGCCTGGTTTTCTTTGCTTTATGTTTAAAACCACCTATGAGTGAGTTCATGTGATAATTGTCTTTCTGTGTCTGGATAACAAGCATCATTTAGGAATGGCTAACCCAGGAGCGGTTGATTTTAAAGTTTGTGACACATATTGCCAAAGAGCTTTCCTGGGGAGCTGTAGCCATTCTTAAATGATGCTTGTGGTTTGAGGTAGTTTACACTTCTGTGCTGGAGGCTGAGCCTCCAGCAATGCAGTGTTGGGAAGATGGACTCTATACACAGTGGGATCCACTGTAGAGCATCACATCACGGAACACCATCCACAGGAAGGGACCGATGCTGGTCTCTCAGTGGCTGGTCCTGTGAAGGTGGGCTGCTGGACCAGGAGCCGCCTCACCATTCATTCTCCAGCCTCTTGCTTTCTGCCTCCCTACGCGTTCTCTTCTACAATATGTTTCTACCATGACGCCATCTGCCCTGTTGTGACTGAGCCAAAGGCCATCACCAGAGCCAAGAAATGCCAGCAGTGTACACGTCGGCCTCCAGAACCACGAGTGGAATAAACCTCTCCATTACGTGCCCAGCTACAAGCATTTGGCTACAGCAGTGCAAAATGTATCAGTGGCCCTTAAAGAGGTACTGATCATTCTGTGACCTATGAAATCTTGGCAAATAATTTTAGAGTATCTCTCAGCTAGCAAGAACCCGCTCAATCAGTAAGAAACTTAATCTGGGGTACCAGACCCCGGGAGCATGTGTGATTAGTCAGACATTTGCTTCTAACTTGCTTGATATTACTAATGAGTTTCTCCGTATATGTGCCTTCATGTCCTTCATCTATCGAAACAGTGCAAGTCCTATGGTGTTGCTGCACCTTCTTCAAAGCTTGACCTCTAGTGCGCCAGTTTTGTAAACTATATATCCGTGGCGGGGAGGGGGGGAGGCAGACAGAAGACAAGTTCCGCTGCCAATTCATTTGACTGAATTACCTACAGTGTGCCATGCGGGGACATTGAAAATGCCTGACAACATTAAGGGCTCTGCATCTCGCCTTGCTCACTCCATTCTTTCCTCACTTATTTTAAGCTCAACCCATTTTTCTCCCACATCATCTGGAGGACTATTGAACACAGCTGAAGCAGCGCTGAGACAATGGGACTTTCGAGTCTATCAGCTGCACGGCTGCGTCCAGGTCCTACCACTCACAACCAAAACCAGAGATAACAGCTTGGAAAACTCTTTTGGATGTGGAGTGAGATCGTGTATGAGACCCTGAGCCACAGCCTAGGACACATGCCAGTTTCTTCTCCTAATACTTTCTATTCAGCCATGTGCAAACCTCTCCATCTGCATCAGAAACATATAGAAATATACCCTGTACAGGGCCAGGCCCCTGGACCACTGGGATATTTCCTCTCCTTCCCTCCCTTCCTTCCTTCCTTCCTTCCTTCCTTCCTTCCTTCCTTCCTTCCTCCCTCCCTCCCTCCCNNNNCCCTCCCTCCCTCCCTCTCTCTCTCTCTCTCTCTCTCTCTCTCTCTCTCTGTGTGTGTGAGAGAGAGAGTGTGTGTGTGTGTGTATGTGTGTGTATGTGCGCGCGCGCAAGCCCATGTTTTATATGTATGAACAAGCATGTAGGCCAGAGGTCAATATTAGATGTCTTCCTGAATTGCTCTACACCTCCTTTATTAATTCAAGGTCTCTCACTGAGCCTGGAGCTTGCTGATTGGCTAGACTGGCTGCCCAGCAAGCCCTAGGATCCCCTTGTTGCTACCTTCCCTGCACTGGGATTACTACCACACTCTGCTGAGCTGGTTTTTCACCTGAGTGTTGGGTATTCAAACCCCTGCTGTGTGGCAAGTACTTTACCAACTGAAACATCTCCCCAGCCCTCATCTACTCTTTAACTCAGCTTGGCATGTTAGACAAAGGGTTTAAAATCTAGTTGAATATGCAACCCGGGAGTCAAATGTTTGACCCCACAATGTGGCCACCTCAGCAACTTAGAAAACACAATAGTTAATTAGCTTCTTACTGATCCTAAGCCAGTAGGTCAGAAAGCCTATCTGATTATGACAAGGGGGCACCCGAATACACAGGCTCGGCTTATAGCCAAAGCCGATTGTCACTAATGATATAATCTTGAGCTAATCCATTCAATTACATAGGAATTATATCATGAGATGAAGGTATTTTAAATTTGGCTTTGAAAGTGATCCCTCTTCAGCACCCTACTCACCGCTAAGCCCACTGGAGAGTTTTACAACTTCATCAGACTTGCTCTGTGTTGGCCGAGGCTTCCTCTGGAAGCTTGCTCCCCCTGACCTCCTCAATACAACCTCCACTCGCTGTCTTACTCAGTGGTCAGTACCTTGGGCTTCTCTAAGAACTGGAATTCTTCAGGATGCCTCTTTGTTTTTCCTCTCTCTTCTTGCTTTTCTTACTCTCAAGGAGCCGAGATTGGCTCCACCAGCATCGCATACCTTCCGTGCCAGGGCTGTCCAAGTTCAGCTCGCCACCCTGGACTGCATTTCTGCCCCACTGCTCCCCACCAGGCTCCCCTGCTTCGCATCCCCACTCCTCACCGCAGCACAGAAAACA